CAAGGAACTTCAGGGGCATGTTCTTCAAGCACTGCAGGGATGATGCTGAAGGAACATCCTCTCCTCTGCAAACACCTGGGAATGTCACCTGGGATGGGAACCCAAAACCTGGGCATGGTGACAGCAGGAAGGAAGGTGGGGAATCCAGGGGATTCCTCCCACTATGGGCTTTTGTGATGCCCTGTGAAGATCCATAGGTGTAAAATCGGGATTAAATCCACCCATGCCTCAGGGAAGCTGCCCTGGTGTCTCTTTGCCAGGAGCAAACGCAGCAGCAAAGGTAAAACTTTCCTTCCTGCTCCAAAAGCCCCCAGAAAGGGTCTTTTTTCAGCAATCACCTCCAAGGCTCACTCAGGGTTTTGCTTCCCAGAGTTCTGTCCTCAGGGACCACGGTTTTTGCAGGGAATGAATCCACTGAAAACTAAAATCCCTCAAGTCCCTTTACACAGAGAGACAGTGAAGCTGCACCACGAGGAGAAATCCCAAAATAAACCAATTCCAAGGTGGGTGCCAGTGGGTTTTTGGGGTCTCAGGTGGTACAAACACAGGGTGGAGGGCACCTACCCCATCTCCCCATCACGTCAATCATGCAGAGGAATTATTCCTGGCCGTGGGATACCAGCATCTCTCCCCACATTTTCTCTGGGTGTCTCTCTTCCCAGATTTGTTCCGGGAGTCTGTTTCCCCAAATTTGCCATGTGGGGTCCAGACTCTGCCCAGATTTGGCACCACACAGGTCAGGGGGGCTGTGAGGGCTGGGCTTTGTGTGCAGAGGAGTCACGGCATCTCCACGGGGAACAAACCCCTGGGCTTACCCTGCCCTGGCTCCAGCCTGGCCTTCCAAGCCTTCCCGAAGTCCAGCATCTGGAATGTGATGTAATCTGAGGCTCGATGGGCAGCAGCGGCAGCACACGTCCAGCTGTGCACATCTGGCCTCCAGGTGTTCCAGCTGCTCCCTGTCAGGGGCTGTGAGGAACATGAAAAAGCCCCCCGAGTTCGGGAGGCGATCCTACCTGTCCCAGGGATTGTTCCCAGAAGCCCTCAAAATTCCATGGATTTTATGGCACTGCTTTTTAGTGGGTGGCCCCAAGGCTTTGGGGCTTTTTTATTTTTATTTTTTTTTAAATCATGATTTTATTTAAAGGGAGGAGTTTAAACCATAACTGCTGTCAAACCCGGGATTTTTCCTTGTTGTGAATTCCACCGGCACTAATCCACCGAGCCACGGGCATCATCCTCTCCCTGATTTAGCCCCAGGAGGAGGTGTTACCACGGAACCTTCGTGCTGCCCTGGTGAAAATCAGGCAGATTTGGAATTTTGGATCACCGAAAATTAGCTGGAGATGAAAATTGTTCCTCCTCGTGCTCCTCCTGTGTATGGACAGAGCAACACTTGCTCCTAAAGAATTTCACCTACCCAGGGGTAGGTAAAAGGGGTAAATCCAGGTCTCATCCATGGTGCAGGTCCAGTCCTGGAGCATCCCATGGGGTTTCTGCTGCTCCTGAGGTTCGCTGCACCCAGGAAAACTGGGAGAGCAGGGGAGCTTCTGGCTGAGCAGGCCAGAGAGAAAGAGTTCCCTTGGAAAAAGAATAAAGCCCCAGGTGGATATATTTGTTTTTAGAGAAGGTGTTTGTCCCAGATTTTGCATTATTTTGGCAGGAAGGCAGAGGGGGAGGAGAAGAGGTTTACCTTCGGAAAACTCCCTGCCCTTCTCCAAGGGATGTTTAATTTGGAGTCCACTTCATATCCGAGTTGTGTTTATCCCTGGAAGGACAGGCAGGGAGTTTGCGCAGGATGAGATCTGAAGGAGGCTTTTCCTAGGAAGTGTCAGACCCCCCCAGAACTGTGCCCTCCTTCCCTGATTCCCACATGGCCTATTCCCAATGCTTTGGCACCACTTTGGGGATGTGTTTCAGGCAGTGCCTTCCCAGGGTTTCCTATTGATCCAAGAATCCCAGAGGCTGGAGGAGGCAGAGGAAACCTTGATTTGAGTGTCTTCATCCTTGTCCTGAACCTCCTCAGCCTCAGAACCCCCTTTTAGGGCCACTCTGTGTCTGTGCAGGTTCTCCACCTCATCCCCATCTACTCCCCAAGAGGAACATCCCATTCCCTGCCCTTTTTTCCCCACTCCCTGCTGCTTATTCCCCCCCTTTCTTCTGTGCCTGCTGTGTGTTTGGCTCAGGGGGTGGAGATGGGCCAAGGGAAGAAGTTACGAGCTCTTTTCGGTGGCTGATTTGAGCTGGAATGGTGAGGAACTGGCCTTTTCCAGGTGTTTTGGGTCCCAAAATGTATGTTTTCCTGTGGGAAGTGTTTGGCAGTTCCCTGGGCGTGATGGAGGCTGCCTTGGCTTCCTCCTCTTGATGTCTTCTCCTCAAGGGTTCATTCCATCCATCCATCCACCCATCCACCCATCCACCCATCCATCCACCCATCCACCCATCCACCCATCCATCCATCCATCCATCCATCCATCCCTCCATCCCTCCATCCATCCATCCATCCATCCCTCCATCCCTCCATCCATCCATCCATCCATCCATCCATCCATCCATTCCAGGCCAGGTTGGAGCCACCTCTAGTGGGAGGTGTCCCTGCTCGTGGCAGAGGGTGGAATGGGATGAGCTGTAAGGTCCCTCCCAACCCAAACCGTGCTGGAATTCTCTGGCTGGCCATGGGCACCAGCAACTCTTTCTGCAGCAGCAGAAGGAAAGAAAAGAAAAGATTTAAAGCAAGATTATCTAGTCATTTCAGTCGCCATCGTTTGCTTCCCCACATTGGACTTATTTGGGATCAGACGGGGGCAGGAGGGACCAGGAGCCTTCACTGCCTCGGTTTTTCCCAGGTTGTGAGGTCTGACCTTCCTCAGGGATGCACAGGATGGTCTGGAGAGGGACAAACAGCCTCAGGGCACGGGGAAAAGGCTTCAGGCTGCAGCTCCTCATTCCACATCCCCAGAGAGGCGGAATCCCCATAAAAACTGAAGAGCTGCTGGATGCAGGGAGGGTGTTTTACCTCCAACCATCCGCCAAGCTCTCACAAGCCTGGATTTAGATGAGAAACACCCCAAAAATCCAGGGATTTCTGCTGGGTTTAGCCTTTTATGAGGGGAAACACCCCGAAAATATAGGGATTTCTGCTGGGTTTAGCCTTTTATGAGGAGAAACACCCCAAAATCCAGGAATTTTGCTGGGTTTAGCCTTTTGCGTTGGGAAACACCCCAAAAATCAAGCTTAAAAAAGCACAACCTTCTTCCTGGAGCCGCCTGCTTTGGCATTTCAGAATTCCCTGCCAGCCCTGTTCCCTGGGAAGGCCCACGTGTGCCCCCCGAGTCACGCTCCACATTGTTCCCTGTGGTTGTATCCTGTCCCTGTGCCCACAGGGGAGGAGGCACCAGGGGGGGTGACATCATGCAACTCCTATTTATTCGTTTATTTTGAAAAATAATATGAAGGGCAGCTGCTGCTTAGCACAGAATGGAAGACTGGGCTGATTTTTCTACAACAGGAGAGTCCCCTTTTGTGTCCTAACCCTGCACTGCTCGGACTGCTCCAGAATGAGTTTTTAAACTAAAAGAGGAGAGATTTGGATGGGATATTGGGAAAAAATTCTTGGCTGTGAGGGTGGGGAGGGGGCTGGGATGGAATTCCCTGGGAAGCTGTGGCTGCCCCTGGATCCCTGGGAGCGTCCAAGGCCAGGTGGAGCAACCTGTGCTAGTGGAAGGTGTCCCTGCTCCTGGGACTGGATGAGTTTTAAGGTCCTTCCAGCCCAAACCAGTCTTGGGTTCCATTTTCCTCCTCTTGAGGACTAAGCAGATTCTCTGCAGCCCCAGGTGACAACCAGAGAGGTCACTGCCTGGTGCACTTGCTCTGCCCTGTCCAGGCGATATTTCCAAGCAGAAATAACTCAGGATGGAGCTTCTCCTTCCCCATTCACCCTATAACATATTTGGAATTTCTTACCAGCTTTTATGCAGCACCTGGAGCACGAAGTCCTTCTTAATTAACAGCACTGATGAGGACCAGTGATCTCAATGCTTATTGCAACTCCAGCTCCTTCTAGAAGGAGAGAGGCTGAGCCCTGGGGACAGAACCTTTGTTTTACATTCTCAACTTTCAAAGGAGCTGAAAAACCTTAAAACAAACAAACAAACAAACAAAAAACCAAGCCAAACAAACAAAAAGACAACACCAAACCCACACCAAATCCCCCCAAAACCACGTCATAGAAATGATTTCACTCCTTTTGTAACCCAAACCACCCCAATCCTATATAAGCAAAGGCCTTGGGGAATTGTTGTGAAACTTCCTCTGCAGCCAGGGCTGTGTTCCTGCTGCCACCTTCCATCAAGCCAGGAGCCCTTGGGATCTCCAGGCTGTGGAATGCTCCTCGTGGGGCTGGGAAGTGCTCCTAAAGCAGGGGAAGCTAGAGCAGCATGCCCTCAATTCCAGGGAGCTGCACTGGGTCTGAGAGAGCTACAGGGTGGGAGAAATGCTTGGAAATCCCTGAGAAATGCTTGGAAATCCCAGGAGAAAGCAGTTCCCATCCCTGCAAGTGTTCCAGGCCGGGTGGGACAGGGTTTGGAGCAACCTGGGCTGGTGGGAGGTGTCCCTGCCCGTGGGAATGAGGTGGGCTTTAAAATGTCCCTTCCAGTCCCTCCTGGAATTCTGTGAGACGTGTTTTCACACATCTCACAACATTATTATAATATGGAATTATGGCATCCAGCTGCTCCAATCCCACAGGCACTGCAGTTTCCCAGCCAGGCAAACTCAGGCACATGCAGGGAGGGCAATCCCCAGGCTCTCAGGGATGCTCCTGGTGAACGGGATCTCTCCCACCACGCTCTGGGACGAGGGGCGGGACTGAACACGTGGATATGAACCACAAACTGGATTTCTAGGGAAAAAGAACTTCCCAGACCACACATCTCAGAAAAGACCTTTGGGGTATTTATTTTTCTCTCCTTTTTTTTTTTTTTTCCCCCCTCTCTTCTCTCCAGACTGTCCAGCGTCTGCAACTGAAGTGGAATTGGGATTTATCCAAGTTTGTAGCTTCTGAAACCTTAAAAACCTCAAGTAAACTGGTCCAAAAGACCCCTCTTGACCTGCCTGGCTCTGAACTCTTGGTGGAGCACTTGGGCTGAGCAGAGACCAGCACCGACCAGGCTGAGATTGCAGCATCTCCCCCCCAAGGCCCCGACCAGCGAGGAGAGGAGAAGGAACATTCCTGCTTGTCCGTGGCCGTCGGGTTTCGTGTCTGTCTGTCCTCGTCTTTGGTGGGTTTTAGCTCTAATTTTTTTTTTTTTTTCCCTAGAAAAAAAAAATAACCCCAGAGAAATCTTAATTCAGGAGCACATTGATGAAACGTCTTTGGGTTGGGGTTTTCTCCTCCTTAACTGTATCTTTTTGGGGGTGTGTTGTTTTTTTTTCGTTTTTTGAGCTATTTTTTGGAAGTCACACCCTGATTTCTTGGATAGTGGCGGCAAAACCAGACCGAGGCTGTCAGAAAAATATAGGAAGAGAAGGACAAAAGCCCGTGGTGGGCCCAGCAACCTGCACGATTTGTGACAGGAAGGCCTGGACCACAGGCTGCCCTCCACACTCTGCCACCCCTCCCTTATTGCTCCATGATTTGCTACAGCTCATCCCCTCCCCCCTTTTTTTGGTTTTGTTTGAATTTTTATTATTTTTTCTTTTTTTTTTTTTTTCTGTTCCAGTGTATATGTGGCTTATTTGTTTTATTTATTGAGATATTTTTAACGAGCTAAGAGACTGCAATGTTGCTGTGTATACTGCTTCTCTTGCCAATAAAAATAAAGATGTCATGCAGCTACCAGGGGTCTGACATTTCTATTTTTAATATTTGTAGCATATTTATATTATATTTATATTTATATTTATATTTTATTTATATTTTATTTTTAGTTATATTTATGTCATATATAATATCTTTTTTAATTTTTATTTTATATATTTTATTTTATTTTATTATTTTTATTTCCTTATTTTTACATTTTATTTCTATTCTATTCTGTTGTATCCATATCTATATATTGAAATCTATATCTATATCTTTATATCTATATCTATTTTATCTATATTTATATTTTATTTATATTTATACTTTATTTATATCTGTATTTATATTTAATTTAATTTTATATTTCTATTTTATTTAGATCATAGATATTTTTATTTAATTTCATTTTATATTTTTATTTAATTTTATTTTATATTTTTATAGATTTTTATTTAATTTTTATTTAATTTTTATTTAATTTTTATTTTTTTTTTCATTTTTCCATTTTATTTTTTATTTCTTTATATCTATATTTATGCTTATATTCATATTTACCTTTTATCTATATTATATCATATCTAACATCTATATTTTATTTTATTTTATTTCTTTTATATATTTCATATATTTTATATATTTCATATACTTCATATATTTTTTATTTTATTTTATTTATATTTGTATTTATATTTTTTTGAGAGGTTTCCTTGCACCCACAAAGTTTTGACCCAGCAATTTGGCCGAGGGCTGTTTCCCAGGGTGATGGGGTGCAGAGGGAATGAGCATCACTCGTGTGCCTGGAGATGGAACCAAAGGATAGAACCAGCAGGAGGTGATGGGATCTGCCCAGTCCCCCCCCTGCACCACCCTGGGAGAGATTCAGGGGTGCACCAAGGGCAGGGACAAACTTTTGTGCAAAAGAGGATGAAATCAAGAAATCCCTTGATGCAGCAGGCTCAGATAGATCCCAAAAGTGGGAATGCTCCCCCAGGGAAGAACCTACACACAGGTGGAGCCTGGATAAACATCAGCCCTGGATCACTTGGTCTCTGTGCGCTGGAAAGGAGGCAGAAAACACCCAGAACATGCAAAATATTCCCTGGAAAGAAGCCAAGTACTGAGGTGGGGATGTAAAATGTACTGATTTGGGGTTTTTTTAAGTCATTTTTACTCAGTTTAGCGGAGATAACTCCCTCATTTTCAAAAGGTGTGGAGGGGAGGTTCTAAATTTTTAAAAAAAAAATTTTATAACATTTCAGTGTTTAAGCAAAACATTTAATTGCAGGCTGACTCAAACATCTCCTTACAAAAATTGTAATTTTTTTAAATTTTTAAAATAATTTATGTTTTTCATTAATTTTGACTCCCCAGAAATTTCCATCATTTCATTTTTTATCCCAAATCAATATTTTTTTTGGAGCTTTGCTGCTTTAGAAAAGTCAGTGCTCATATATCCTGGGAGCTGAAAACGGAGCTGAAATGAAGAGGGAATGCAAAATTCCAACTCTGAAGTCGGTCTTTAAGAACTTGCCAGCCATCCAGCAGGAATCCAAGACACCACAGGTATCCAAAGACAGGGAATCTGCTTCCAGGGAAGAAACATTTCATCGTTACAAGGTGATGAACCGTCCCCCTCCGAGCTTTCAGCATTCCTACCCGCTCTGCTAAATCCCCAAATCCAGCGGGACTCTGATCCCAGCAGCACAACTCCTGGAGGAAAAGGAAACCTGTGCTGCGTTCCAAGAGTTTCTCCAGTCCCAGCCTTGGCTTTCTCCTCTATCCCATCCCAGGAAGCCAAAATTCCCACTGCACGTCCCCCCGGGTTTGCCAAACTGTGCTCCTGGTGTTTTGGGGGCACGGGGGGGGCACGAGGAGCTCGTGCGGTAAAAATAATTCCCTGATTTCAGATGTCAAAAGCCTGGGAAGCAGCAAATAAACAAAGCCCAGAGCACCAGCTTCCCAACAGCACTGTGATGTGTCCGTGGATTCAGGGACACAAGGGTGGGAATAAAAAATGGGGAAAAAAAATGAACACCCCCCCCCCCTCAGAAGGGTCAAGTTTAAGGGGAAAAAGGTTTGTGAGATTTGTGGGAAATGCTGATAAAAGGGAAGGATAAAAGAGACCAAAAAAAGAGGGGGAAAGAGCAGAGGGAGAGAAGACTCGGGATGAGGATGTGCCAGTCAGGAGGGATTTGGCCGGATGATGGTTTTGCTGCATTTAATATTTATTTAATGTAAGATATGCTTTGATTAATTCTGGTGGACTACACCAAAGTCCTGCTCCCAAATCCCAGAGTGCTAATCACGGAGAAGAGGCGGACACTGACTCATCCTGGAAACTTCCCAACTTCCAGAGGGGGAAAAGGAAAGAAAAAAAATAAAAAATAAAAAGAGGAATCTCAGCGCTCAGGCAAACACGGAGGTCCTGGATCCACGCTGGGGGAAAGGTCGGGGTGCTGGACAGGGAGCCTGGGAGGGGATGTTCCCGAGGAGAAAGGATCTTGGGCAGATGTTGCCAAGGGCTGGGTTTGTCCCAGCATCTCCCTGTGCCCACCTGGAGGCAGGAATGCTGCCATCCCAGCAGAGGTGCCCTGGGGAAGCCACAGGGAGGGCGTTTGCCAAAGGTCCTGCTGCCAGGAGGTGGAACACGGAGGGGGAAGGAGCTGGGGGGTCACTCCTGGAGCACAGCCCTGCCCAGGCACCCCCAGCTCGGATGGATCTCACGGGGCAAACACATTCCCAGAGCCCCTGGAGAGCCTCAGGTGTCCCCAGAGCCCCTGGAGAGCCTCAGGTGTCCCCAGAGCCCCTGGAGAGCCTCAGGTGGCTCTTTCCCAGCCCTCTGCTGGGGAGGGATGAGCACACAGAGATGTTTGCTCAGCAAATCCCCACCAGCTCCAAAGCACCTCTGGGGAAGACACAAACCAAGGGGGGTCCTGGCCTGCTGTTCCTTATCCCAGCCCAGCCCCCTTCCCATCCACTCCCTTTTAGCTCTGAGAGGGGCTGACAGCAGCGGGAACTGCAGCCAGAGCAGCAGATTAACAACATCTTTCTTCTCCAGGCTTTGGGCCACATGTTTGCGTTGGTTCAGCCCACGAGGAAAACGGAAAGCCCGGAATCTGACAGGCTCCAGACAAGGGTGGGGGGAAGGAGATGACAGATTTCATGCCTTGCAGCCAATTGTAGTCACTTTTTTTTTTTTTTAAATTAATTTCTTTTTGTGTTTTTTGGGAGCAAGGAAGCTGCAGGTTGGGACCCCACACCTCCACCACCCCGGCTCAGCCTGCGGGGGTGCGTCCATCTGGACCTGAAGGGCCTCGTCTTGTGCCCCATCCGATGGCATCCAGGGTGAAAAGAGGCTCTGCAAAGTCATTTTGGTGCTCCTCTCTCCCTCCCTGACCCCACAGCCACCAGAGGGGAGTGGAAGGTCACGAGCTGAGGAGGGGGTTGTGCCCTCCTGGCAAGCACAGCAGTGGCCTGGGGGGTTCTGCAGGGTGTGGGTGTCCCCCACACTCCAGGTTCACAGAGTCCACATGGGAAGGTTGGATGCTGGATGGGGAATGAGGTCTTTTATGGTTCCTTTTCCTTCCTTCCTTCTTTTTCCTTCCTTTTCCTTCCTTCCTTCTTTTTCCTTCCTTTTCCTTTCTTCTTTCCTTTGCTCCAAGTCCAACCTGCCCTTGGACACTCCCAGGGATGGGGCAGCCACAGCTCCCCTGGGCACCCTGTGCCAGGGCCTGGATGAGAAATCCAGACCAGGCTTACCTTGTTCAGCAGTTCCTGAAATTCCCCGAGGGATGCACGGGAGAGGATGGATGTTTGGATCAGTTCACTGTGGTTTACTGTGGGGAAAAAACACATTTTACCACCTTGAGTCCCCAGCCCACTTTCTATTACTTTTTGAGAAAAAAAAAAAGATAAAAATCAATATAAGAATCCAGCTGAATGAAGGAAATAGGATATTCCTGGCTGTGGCCTCAAGGGATGGACAAATTTGCTGCTCAGCATTGATGGATCCATGGATAGAAATTATTCACTGACAGGAATAAACCCTTCTGGTTCTGGCTAAAAACCTCGTGACCTCTTTAGGGGGAGTATTTCTGTGGCTGAGCTCCCCTGGGTGGGAAAAGTGGGATAAACTTTGGGAAGAGTCAGCCCAGGTTGGAACTGGGGGGGTGCAGCTGCCCCAGGGCCTGAGGGGGCACCTCTGGGACCCAAAAATGGCATCACTGGAGGCTCCAAATGGAGCAGGGGAGGAAATCACTTGACTCAAGGTCAAGATAAAAGTTTGGATGGGATATTGGGAAGGAATTCTTCCTGGGGAGGGGCTGGGAAGGAATTCCCTGGGAAGTTGTGGTTGCCTCATCCCTGGAAGGGTCCAAGGCCAGGTTGGAGCAACCTGGGCTAGTGGAAGGTGTCCCTGCCCAGGGCAGAGGGGAGGAGTGGGATGAGATTTAGGTTCCCTTCCCTCCCAAAGCATCCAGGATTCTGTGATGCCCTTGAGTCACTGCAACATTTCATTTATCACCTCCTCCCCCTCCCCAAAAAAATGACCCTGTATGTCTCCCCCAGGTGATGGGCTGGGGCTCTGCTCTAATCAGACAGTTGTGCCCCTTTTATCTCTCCCTG